ATACTCCATCAAACCGCCAGTTCATGCTTCGGAATCGGCTTCAGCTGGCTCTGCATCACGAACATCGACGGATTCACGACCAACGGTCGTGGCGCACCGCACAAGTCGGCGCCGTTTAAGCTCTGGGTGATGCTGACGGGTGTGAGCTTGCACCTGCTGTGGACCCAGCGCAACCACGCCAAGCACCGCAACCGCGCGATGCCCCCGGCCCATGTCATTCTGGACGTCTCGTTTGTCACATGGCTGCGATCCGTTCGACGATGGATGCGTCTGCAAGTCCCGGACGACTCCGAGCTCTCAGCCGTGCAGGCCGCTCTAGTCACACTGCTGCGCCAAACCAACTACCGCGACCTCCACGCCAAGTATCCGCGGTGCTTGGCGCTCGACACGACCTTCGATCTCCACTAGGCCATCGGCCGCATGCGTCGACGCATGCACCCTTTCCCAAGGTCTAGCCCGCCCATGTAGTCCTGCACTGCACTGGCACTAGAACTGGATTGAGCTTCGGCAAGATTAGCGTTGGTAGATAATTCTAGTAATGCAGTATCCTTTGACACCTCGGCCAAGCTGTCGAACATAAAAAATGGCATCCACTGTTTACGCTTTTGTGTTTGGTTTGTATGGGATCTACCCAGGAATTCGAGATTGGGTTCACAAGAGATTGGGCGATCTCGTTGAAGTAGAGTTATCAACGAACGTCGGTTAGAGTGATTTGTACGTGAGAGAACCGCCGCCATCGACAATTACAACGCGGTCTTCCTTGCTCTCCATCACGTGAAGGGTTCGGAGTGGTTTCTGTTGTTGGGCTTTTCGTCGAGAGACCAAGAACGCAAGAATGCCACACGCGCACACGACGCCGCATGAGATTCCAACGATCATCGGGACAGGTACCGTCTGATTGTCATCGCCGGCCGACGCAGAGTCGTTGTCCGATGGGGCGCTTCCTGGAGCCACGGTTGTCGAGCCATTCTTGATTGGTCCTGATGGACCCACTGGAGCCACCACCGTTGGCGCAACCGTGGCATTTGGCATGAAGGACGCCTTGTCCGGGTTGTCCCACTTGAGCGTCATGCAGAGGGGAGTACTGGTGCTGCAATCGGTGTCGTGCTTGAGGAAAAACGTGTACGCGCCGCTTGGGGCGTCCTTCTTGAGTCCCTTGCCGATGTCGTTGCTGTAGTAGCCCAGGTCTTGATGAGACAGCGAAAACGTCACACCTTTGGCCTCGCCCGCCGCCAACGACAGCTTTGTAAATCGCTTCAGGAGTTTGGTTTCGGCATGGATGCGAGTCGCAGGCGGCGTTCCAAACAGGAGCACGGTCTCTTGCCCTTTGACAAGCCCGGTGTTTTGCACAGTCACTGAGACGGTGAACGCATTCGAGCCCGTCGAGCTGAACGATAGCGCCGTCGTGCTGATCGTCGCGTTCGAGTAATGGAAGCTCGTGTAGCTCAACCCGTCGCCAAACTGCCACTCTGCAGGACACTCGTACTTGATGCCGTCCTTGAGACATGACGTGTTGGTGCGCTTGTAGTACGGAGTTGCCAAGTTGATGCTGGTGTCCGTCTTTGGGTACGTCATGGCCATTCTTCCGCTCGGATTGACTTTGCCCAGCAACACGTCTACAATCGCTTGGCCGCCATACTCACACGGCAGGCCAGCAAAGATGACAGCATGCGCAAGGTCTGCTATCCCGTTAAGCAGTCGAGGACGCCCTTCGACCAACACCAGAATGATCTTGGTGCCAGTCGACTTGAGTGCCTTGACATACGTGAGGAATCCTGGTGGGAGGGGCTGCTTGTCATCGTTGCCCTTGTATTCAGCGTAGGGACGTTCGCCCAGCACGACCACCGTGTAGTCAGCTTTGGCTGCCATGGCCTTGGCCGCTTCCAAGTCGCCGGGCTTTCCGTCGTTGTCGACAAGGTTCCCGTCCGTGTCAAACCCTTGGTAAAACGAAAATTTGTCCGCTCCCCCAAGGGTGGTCTCCATCGCTTTCCGCACGGACGCGCCCAACGGAAACACTTGGCTCAGGGACGTCCCCTGCCACCAGAGCGTCCAGCCGCCACACAGCAACCCGATCGAGTCGCTGCTGGAGCCTGTGAGGAAAATGGATGCCTTCCCGGGAGTCAATGGCAGCGCATTGTCTTGGTTTTTCAAGAGCACCATGGATTCCCGAGCTATAGCGAGGGCTGAGAGCTGGCTCGCTTCGTCGCCGAGCTGACTCAAGACATCGGCGCCGGGCACAGGCTCGTCAAACAAGTTAAGTTTCAACTTAAGTTTGACAATCCGCAGCACAGATTCACGCAGCCGGGATTCGGGGATGCGGTTCTGGGCCACCAATTGTTTTCCAGTTTCGATGAAGCTACCATCGTCCGGCACCATGCTCATGTCGTACGTTGCCTTGGAGAGGGACGCATAGACCGCCTCCAGGACAGTAGGGGCATAACTGTGCTGTGTAACAAGCATCTTGATCTCTTTGAAGTCGGTGACCATGAGGCCCTTGAATCCGAGATCCCCTCGAAGCAATCCCTTATGCATGAGTTCATTGGCGGCCAATGGCACGTTGTTTAGCGCAACAAACGTCCCCATGCCGCTCCACACGTCGGCTTCGACTGCCGCCTTGAAAGGCGGCATAAAGTAGTTGAGGATCTCTTAGGAGCTCAGTTCCGAGTTGTCCCGGTCAAGACCGGTCGTTGGGTCCGAGTACGAGATGAAGTGCTTGAAGCACGCCGCAACCCGTTGCTTTTGAATGCTTTCGATGACGGCTTTGCCCATTTGCGCGACAACAGTCGGGTCTTCACCAAATGTTTCGTACACACGTGGCCAGTGCTTGTGGCGCGTGACGTCCAGTGTCGGCCCAAACATCCATGGGATGCCCGCCGCTTTCGTGTCGCGGGCCATGTATTTGCCAAGGCCTTCGGCCAAAGTCGGGTTGAACGCGGCGGCCGTGTTGATGCTCTGGGGAAAGAGCACCGACCCGTCGACGTATGTGGCGCCGTGGACGGAATCGATTCCAAACATCATGGGCACCTTGTTTCGTTTCATGTGAATGTCTTGCATCTCGGTCAGGATGGCACGCCATTCTTCCGTGTTGGCTGTCACACGATATCCCTTCCACCCCATCCCAATGAAGTTAAAGTACGATCCAACGTTGACCTGGGCAAATTCGTCGACTTTGGCCGCAGTGTTGGCCGCGCTGAGGTCGATTTGGGTCATTTGGCCCAAGAGTTGGCCCACCGTCTACGCAGAGAGATGGTGGGCATCTTGTGCCCGCGACAAGGTACGATCCATACCATAGCGTCAACGATGGCTTTGGCGCGTGCATCAACGTCCGCGGCGACGGCCGCCATCGATGCCACGACAGCCACCCCTACGGCACAGGGCTGCTTCATAGGCACCTCCACTTGGTGGAATGTTGGTGGTTTGCAAGGCGAGAACGGTCCAGTGCCCTTTACCACATCGTCTCCTTTTGCGTGACAAGCGCTGCCGTGACAAGGGAACCCCACCGTAACACGCCAGACACGGTGGCATCCTGCGATCGCCCCAACGATCCAGTCGTTTCACTTGTCCGACGCGATAGCGACATGAATGTGAAATGGATGGCCCTGCTGTCATCAGAATATCCCTCCAACGACTCGTTGACCGACGGCAGTAATTTAGGTACCCAGTGGCATGGCCGCGTGCTTCGAGTGTTTACCCCAGCTTCCCCACGGCTTTAAACATGGACCAAGCGAAGTTGGATCGCACGATTTGGTCTCTGCCAACCGCTTGGCACCCCCTGTGAGGCAGGTGGACGGGTGGCATGTGCGCTTTCGTCGGTGCTCGACAACATCCGTGGTGGTTGGATGTACCTGAGTCTTGTGCGGTCTGAACTAATGCTAACAGACAGTAGAGACATCTGTGTGTGCAACGACGATGTCGTTGTCGGACCAGAGTCGCTCTTGGCAGGCCTTGTGCGCCGCGATTTGGTCTCGCATGTGCCCAAACATTACCGATTCACGAGTTGGATGGACGGACTCCACACGTGATGGGCCACACACAGTTTGGCCGAAGACTCTTTACCTCGCGGGTGTACCAAGGAAGAAAGCCGGACGATGGGCACTTCCAGCTTGCAACCACGCTTGCCTCGACTGTACACTCGTGGCAAGCGGTACAAGTACATGGTCCCAGGGCACACAGAGCGCCCTAGGGACACGAGGTTGAAACCGCACCAGCATGGACTGCATCGAGTCCGTTGTGGTCGGTCCACCCGTCGACCAGCCCCCTCGCATGCGCCTCAAACACGCAAGCGCGCCAGGCTAGACACTCGAGCTCATCGGACCTTGTTCGGCAGAAAGAATCCCCGTACATGACCGAGGGATGAAGAGAGCTCTTCCTGACATCAAGTTTTGGTCATTCGGATTCTTTACAATGCAAACACAGTCGTCGAGTGGGAAGGCACAGGTAGTCCAACCCGGTGCAAGTGATGTCTACAAGACTCGCTCTGGGATCGAGGTGTACATTCGACGACGCAAGATTTTGGTCCCCACCGACACCGCGAACAGCAAGACGCCGGCCAAGACAAGACCGCCTCCCACGACCCACAGCCACGTACGACGCGGCGACGATATGTCGACTGTTGAGTCTGGGCCTTGCGAGTGAAGCTGCACCAACGCTTGGGTTTCCTCGAGCTTGAATTCTCCCCTGGCCGCAGTGTTTTCCTTGATTGCTGTCGACGGCGTCGGATCAAATTGTACTGTTGCCGTGATGACGTTTCCGCCTCGCACGACTGGCCCGTACAACGTGTGGTGCGAGCCAGGAAACAGGCCCGCCAGCGACGCTTTCAGTTTGTCGACGAGGGAATGATCTAGCTTGTCCGCGGTCAACACACCGATGCTTCGACGCCACGCTGTCGACCCACCTGGCAATGGGATTGTTCCAGTGTACGCCGCCGTAAATGCCACGACTTTCTCGTGCTTGGCAGTCGGGGACTTGACTTGAACAAGCGATGCCGCGACGTCTGGATCGCCCACGACACGATGCGCCCGCCACTTGGTGCCTCGCACCGACCACACATGGACAGCGTGAACTTGCAGCGCTGAGTGATCCCCAACCGTGTGCCTATCGCGATGGACGTGTCAGGACGTCGATATAGCATTATGTGGACACACCCATCGTTCAATGTTTTGTTCGCCCATGATGGCCACCACTGATCCTTGGCGCGGTAAAATTGCGTGTGGGGGTACGGCGCCGACGCATTCCACGGCACGGGCAAGGCTGCACTTGGATCTTGGTTGTTGAACGTCCCAAACGCATAGTGCGGGAGGGAGCTGATGCCACCGACGCCGACTTGCGCGACCAAAAACATGTCTTCATGCATGCTACAGACACGCCATGAGACGATCTCCACAACAATCTCGGAAGAGCATGTGCCCGCAGCCTCGTCATGGACAAAGTGTCGTACCTGGGCGGCGTCGGACGGTGCCACACGACATGGGATGGAGTGTCCAGGTACACAACCACATCGGTGGCGTCCCAAATCACACCGTAGACATGGGTCGAATGCGGCTCAATCTCATGATACGCGACATCACAACTCGTGGCATTTGTGCAATACCCCGTTGCCACGGTCTGCGTTGTCTTGTGGTGCTGCGGGAGCGTACGAGTGACAGCAATGTCCAACCACGCATGGCCCGACGTCAACGGAATGAGGCGCAGGCGGGGGAGCAGGTAGTCGGCATGTGCGGGCAGTGTGGCTGTGATTTGGACGTGCCCATAGCGGAAAGAAAACGATTCGGCGGTGCGGAACGACGCACTGTGAATCGGCGGCGCCATGTCCTGCGGAGTGTTCAAGTGACCGCACCCGGACGCGGCCGCCGCCGTGCACTTGCTAGGCAAGTCGGTGCCCCACATGTCAATGTATCCTTGAAAGAGCGACCAGTTCCCAATAATATCGGAGCTGAGCGCTGGTCGCAGCAGCAGCGTCTTGTTTCGGACAAATCCAACTTGTCGGTGGTTGACGTACATTTGAAACTCGCCCCCCGTGTTCATGGTGATCTCGGGCTTCCAGCGGCGCATGTCCAACGTGGCAAAGCTGTCAGAAAACAACAGCTTCTCCGCCTCGGGTTCCGGCTCCCGGTCAAACGCCCCATGGTACGTCCAACTGCTCGCTGTCGACGTTGCCCACACCGACACTTGGTCGATTTCTAGCGATGACGAGTCCGCTTTGGCATTCCACGTCGGGCTCCATTCATTCAGCGCCTTGTCAAACGCTACAATTCCATGGACCGTGAGCCCGAATATACGTCTTCGACAACATTCCACATGCACGTGTTGGACAGGTCGATCCAAGAAAAACGGGAAAACGGTCCGCAAGGGCTTTCGATGCTCGATGGGAAATCGAGGCAAGAACAACATCGCACTGCATTCAAAGCTCTGACAAAAGCACGATCCGTTGATGGATAGGACGACGTAAAACAACCAGGCCAATGCAGCAACCTCGCCGTGGCCCGACACCGTCGTCGAAAGCACGTCCGACTGGAGACGCACACAGAAATGTAGCACAAACAAGCTCGATCGATTTGACACGTACTCTCTTTGTGGCGCGTCGACGTATCATTCCATGGCTTGTTGCCTATGTTGTCGGGAAAGAACCCGTCGTTCCCGCCAACACGCAGCCCGAGACTCAGGTAAAAGTGCTGGTCGAACGGGGCCTGCACACGCTGCTCACGGTACGGGGACGACTCGTTGTCTCCCCATTGCGACTTCCAAAGCGACGCGGTGCCGTAGCCTTCGACGCGACTCACAATGTTGTCCCGGGAATCCACGTACATGTACAAGTCCGATTCGTCCCAGAACAGTCCGTACACGTGAAATGCATCGCGATCGTCGGATTGCTCGCTGCCAACGTTCGTCGCGGCAGGAGCTGGAAGAGGGGTCACTTGCCGAGATGATCCAGTCGACATGTTGAATGGGCCAAAATGCACTCGGCTTTCCACGGCGCGGCCTTCGTCACGTCCTACCAGCGGCAAAACCCGTGAGGCCTTCCGTACACTTATAATCGGTGACAACGGCGCCACGTTGTACAAAACCAATCCATGGCAGCGACTCAAGATCGTGAGCTCCAATCTCACACTCAACGTGACTGCCACGACCAGTAAATCAAGCACATGCACATCTTTCCACGGGAGCAACGGAGATCTCTTAATGCTCCACAGGTGTCGCAGGCATAGATTTTGAACACGGCGTTGCTCCCTTCCAGTGCTTGTCATGCTTGGACGTACCTTCGAACAAGACGATTTCACCACTTTGAGGCCACTCGCCGTAGCTGTCAAATTTGGGGAGCAGTCGAAACACCGGGCGGAGCCATTGACCCGTGGGGATTTTAGCACGAACTTCGACACGTCCGTAGCGGAAGCTAAAGCTCTTTTCCGTGCGCAGCATAGCGGACCGGATCGGCGGGAGAATTTTCTCGGCATTCCCCGTCTGGAGACACCCAAAATTGTAGTTGGACGTGCACTGGTTCGCCGGGGATGTGCCCCACAAGTCGACCGTGCTGTTGTCGAGAAAACCGACGACTGGGGCGCTCAACGTCGGCTTGATCACAAGTCGCCCGTTCTTCACGTGGGAATTTGTCGGATCTTCCGTCGACATGTGCATGAACGACGTTCGGTCGCCCGTCATCGTGATCTCGTGCTGCCACTTGGTCAAGTCCAATCGGTCTTCGTCAAACGAATCGTGGAACACAAGTCGCTCAGCAGGGAGGGCACACGGGGTCGTGCCAGGAAAACACGCAGATGTCGTGGCAAAGCACGTCGATGTCGATGGTTCCAAACAGGTCGGGACAGAGCTGGCATGCGGGCACGTCGCCGAGCAGTCCATCGTAGTCGTCGCAGTCGTCTTGTCTACAACAAGATTGGCCGTAAGCCACCTTCCACGAACCAGCACACTTGTGAAAGGGAACTCGTTTGCGACCCCGTTTTCAATCGGCACCACAGGGCGCCGAATCGAGAACATGGAGTTGTCGAGATCGGCGAACGCTCTGCACCCCGCTGCACGCGTGGATGTCATGCAAGAAAACGGAAAAAGCAGTGAACATGCCACCACCCCACATGTGATACTAGTTTGTACCGTCGTAGCGATGAATCTCGTTCTTGGACTTCGTTGAGGTGGTCAAGCCACGAATACCCCACACCTTGACGCTGTCGATTTGCATTGCGGAGAAATCGCTGCTGCGGCCAGACGTTGTCGTCGTCATGTCTTCGTTGGTCGTCCACGATGGAAACCATTTGTCCTTTTGGTGGTAAAAGTTGGCGGCCGGGAACGAATCGTTGGTGTGCCACGGCTTGTTGCCTTGTCCGTCGGGAAAGTACCCTGAATCAAGGAAACCCTTGGCAATCGACGTCCCGCCCACCGCGACGTTCATGATCAAGTACATTTCCTGGTCGAATGGCGCGTTGATTGGACCTTCCTGGAAGTTGTTGTATGAATCTACAGCGCCATAGCGTGAGTGCGTTGGATGGCGTCGTCATGTTGTGTCGGTGACCAACCACTGGCGTTCCACGCGCCGGATTCGAGCCCAATGTCCCAAAAGGATTTCTTGCCGTAGTCGGCGACCCGAGTGACCACGTTTTCGGGCTTGTCCACGTAGGCGTACATTTCGTCTTCGTCCTAATATTTAGCAGGGATGCCATGACGACTTTTTACCGATTGAAGCCGGGGGACGAACCCAGTAAAACCCAAATGTGTGGAACTCGTCACCATAACTGCGGTGGTTTGGCAACGCCTTCGTGTCGTTCACGGCGACGGGGTACCCGTCCTTGTTCCATGCCGGACCAAAGTGAAAACACGCAGAAAATCGATTGTTCCCAATTGGGTCGCCCTTGTCATCCTTGTAGTCCGGGCCATTCCCTACCCACATCCACCTCACCTCACGGAACACGTAAACAAGCTCAACGCACCTCGCGATTCCATGATATCGAGCTCACCAGACGACGGCCACGGGCCATACCGGTTATCTTTGGCCATCATCCAAATGCCTGGCCAGAGCCAGTCGCCCCGCGGCAATTTCGTTCGAACTTCTACTCGTCCATACTTGAACGAAAAGCTCTCCATCGTCTGAATGCGCGCGCTTTGCACCGGCGGCAAAATATCGAAACCATTGGCTTCCTTGCGACATCCTGCAAATTGAGGGGAGCTGCATGAGCTGTACGGAGACGTTCCTGTTCGTATTGTCCATGTTAGGACGCTCCGGACAACCACTACAAAACAAACTGTACCCCAGAGATCCATCACGCCGCCCTCGATGCTGTCGCGACCGTACGCTTCGTCCGTCAACGTCGCACGTAAGTGAAGCTTGCCATCTTTCACGTACGAGTTGTTGCGGCTGTTCACATACACCTCAAACTCGCGGTTGCCGTTCCCGCCCAACGTGATGTCGTGTTTCCACACGGACAAGTCAAAGCCCGAGTCGAAGTCATCCTCGAAGATCAGATACTCTTCTTTGGGGGTAAGCGCTGTCACCATTGATGCGACGGTCGCCGTGGCGGCGATTGCGGCGGTATGGATCCGCATCGTCGGCTCCACCTGCAGAAAGGCGAAATGGGCTTGATGTTGAAGACGCTCGCCAAAATGTGTTTATTTACAGCATTCCAGATGATATCTTTTGCAATTAAATACATTTTTCATACTAGTTTTCAGTCTGGGACTAGGTTTTAATAAATTATAGAAGCAGGAACGCTGTTTATGACATATTAAGTACGATTCCATTATGAAGAGTCGTCGAAAAAATTATCGTGACCACGAGTGCTCTCGATTACTTGATTAAATCTATAGGCAACGATTCCTTTTATCAAGCCGCCTCGTTAAGTACGACTTGAACCGAGTTTTCGAACGCCCTGTCTCGAACGGAATGACTTGATTGGTTGGAATAGTTATCATTTTCGCGAATCATTTTGGTTTACTCCCTAGTCGCATTATCCGGGAATCAATGCATTATCCGGATAGCTCTGCCCACGAGAGCGATGACCGAAGTCGACAGCGTTATCGCGCGCTTGCGGCGACAGATCGATGGCCTCAAGTCGAAAGAACAGAAGTTGATCGATGAGTTAGACGCGGTGATTGAATCCCCTGACGCTACTATGCTGGATCTGCTTGTTTTCGACAAAAACAAGTTCCCTGCCTCACGTGAGCTGTGGAGCCGCATCGGTCCAACGATACCGCCTGCACTGGAGCAAGCGTACATTGCGTACAAAGTTGCACGACAACAAGTTTGTGGCGAACTATCCATACATGACCTGTTGGTGCGTATACTCACGAGCTTGGTGTGTAGATGAAATCCACAGCAACGTACGACAACGACTCGACCGTGCCGTCGACACCCTCTGCAACGGTCGAAAACAACGAGGAAACAAGCCTAGCGTGCCCAAAGACGGCAAGTGTGACTGAGGTTTGTGTGTCTCCAACATGGTATCTTGAAGCCAAAACGCACAGGTCACGTCCACGCCTGTTTCCCCTCCACTGCCGCTTGGTCCCGACGAGCGCAGTGTTGCCCCAACCGTTGCCACCACAGCGACTGCTGCATTATCCCATGCTCCACGTGCATCAACTCGAATTCGGTCCAAGCAAGGCACGTCATGAGCTAGCTGCACTTGAAGCGATCCCCTCACCTTTCGCACTAGATTTACCACCACCATCAGTCCCCTCGTCGTCCAACGAGGCCAACGAAGCCAATGACGACGACGACCAAGACAGTGAATCCGATCTGAATGCTCCTCTCGTCAACTTGCGGAGGCGCGTACTTTTGCCCAAGCAGGTGAGTCTTGTACATCCCACGGGATACGTTGTTCCAGTTGTGAAGGAAGTCGAATGAGCGACCGAGGACGGCATTGGCATTGTTATTCCGTCCTCAATCGACTTGTACATTTTGCCGAAGGACTGTTTGTGTGTGGGTTGTCCTATTATCATGTTCGAGCTTGACTACGTTGGAATCGGACACTCCTCTGCATTTCTCCGCACTTGGAGCATCATCGTTGCCGCAGCCAGTGAAAATTGCCATGGGGGGCTTGTACCTGTCAAGTTGACACTGCATAATCTTGCGTGGGTACAGCACGTTGAGCTGTTGAGTTGTGGTGTTCTCTGGGTCGTCGGCGTCTGCTCGTTGAGCTCTCCCGTTGCTCTTGCGCTGGATTTCAGCTGGTCATGCTACAATGTGCTGATTTTTGTGGACCGATCATCTGCCCGTCAAGTTGAAATCTCAAGCGTTGCCGACTCTGCACAGGACGAGGCTCAAGAAGACGACACCCCCAACGACGACCACGAGGACGAAGACGGTGATGATGATGGTGACGACGACGGCGACGGTGATATTGAAGACGACGGCGGGACGTCTGCAAAAACGTCGAAGCGCAACTTGGTCAAACCACCCAAAGGTTGGACCGCTTGAAAACCTGCGGTCGGCTCCGACTGTGTTTGGATTAGGCAAAGTTGGTCGGCCGCGCAAACACCCACCGGCTCGGTCGACAGCGACGCGAGTGTCGGCTCGTCACCACAACGCAAAATCCGCAGACGAAACGTCATCGCCCGCCGCATCGACGTCGCCGACTCGGTCAGCGTCAACCGGCCGTGGCCGTAAAAAGAAGGCGACCGCACAAGATCCTGTCGTGGTGGGGTTCCTTTTGCATTCAACCACGTGCGCTTATCGAACGAATTGCGACAGGACGACAACACCCCCACAAGACGCAAATCGGCCCGACGAGCCGCCGCGACGACGAGTGCGCCAACGAAAGCGGCACCAGCGACAGGAGGACGTAAGAAAAAAGCCACCGATAGTGAATAATATGGCGCGTGAGTGTATTGGAGGCCTGTTGGTTGCAACTGTGGCTTTGCTTCTTCAGATGGCGCCACGATGTCATGATCAGCTGCTCGTCAACTGTATGACGGAGCATCGGCATCGTGTGTGTCAAAAGTCCATTCAACCACGTATGGGGGGATGATGTCCAAACCAGGGCGAAATGGCGAGGCTCGCCTGATCTTTCCCAGACATACTACATGACAACCTGCTTGCGTCAGCGACTTGGATTCGGCCAATTTAAACGAATTGATGGAAGCGGTGCAAACCATGCCTGACAAAGTGCTTATAGTATTGATGCGAGGATACATTTTTGCGCCATGCAGACCACCGACGGTGACCAGCCAAGGCGAGTGTGATCCATTGGGACTTCGTACTATTGCTGTGGCATACAGCAATTTGTCGTGCGCAGCAGTGGACGAGCTGTTGCAATGTACTCGTCCAACGTGGCACCGTTCGGAAACTATACGCAGCCAGCACATTTCATCAATGCAGCACCTCCCCCCCTCCGCATTGACTCAACACGATGCGCATGCGATGGAGATTGTGGCTGTCGCCAAACAGGAACCTGATCGTTGATGCGATATGAACGAGCGACAACCTCAGCACCGGCCAGCAACTCGTCAAAACCTCTGGGCTACGGTGTCCCCCTGCTCTTTGCAAGCTCGTTGAGTCATTACGAATGAGCACGACGAACGCACCAGTTCGGCAGCGGTTGCTGGCTGCAACTGTTGAAACTGCCCACCATTTCGCCTTGACAAGATGTCCGACAGCGTGCGCTGCCTTGGACTCATGCACTTTTGTGCTCATACCCTCGATCGTAGGAAGCAAAAGAGAGCGACAAGGTCGACAAGGTGGGAACTGGGCGATCCACGAGCCGTCGTCGTCCGTGGTGCCTCGATTTCACAATGTTGTAGGATATCGCATCGCGATGGAAACTTGGTCAAGCTGTCCAAGTCCAGCATGCCGAGGACACAAGTACGACCGCGAGCTCTCTCATCAGTGATGGCCATTGTTATCATGCACACAACTGTGCCAGAGATTTGGCTCCACGGCAAAATCACCCGGGTCCATCGAGATGGCCGAGTCACGGTGAGGTATTCGACGGGAGACAAGGAGAGGAACGTGCCAACAAGTCGACTGAAGCACCGCAAACAGCTCAAACGTGGCAAGAGAGAGGTAATGGATGCCGCGCGAAACAACTTCACAGTGCGTCTCGGGCAGAAAGTGGAAGCAAAAAAGACCAACGACGAAGTCGGTGGCGAGGACTCATCGTCCGATACCGGCAAATCCAAGCGCTCTGTGGATGCAGCAGGTGTACCCTCACAATTGCTTCCTCTGGCCGCCGACCATACCTGCTAATCGGCGCCCGCCTGCAGTGGTAAAGAAAGCGTCGTGGCACAAGCAACAGGCCGTCGTCTTCCACGTGAACAACGTTCAGAAGAGTGGTCGGCTGACTGCAATCCGCGACGACGACTGCGACATTCAACATGACAGCGACAAGGACCACGAAAGCACCAACGTGCCGTTCACGGACGTTCGCGGTGTGTGTCGAGTCTGGCAACGTCAGCCACTCACTGTTGAATTGCTAGCGCTGCGTTGGTGGCACCGATGGACGTTGCCCACGACGCGATTTGAAATTCAAGCCAACGTGCGCTACGTTGACGCAAAAGGCCGCGCCCACGATGGTATGAGCCCCACACCACGTTGTTATGTGGTGTCGAGTGTTGGATGCAACAGCGTGCTTTGTGAGTTCGTAGGAGTGATCACGAAGCGCCACCGTGACAATTCGTACGACATTCGACACGTCAGTGACGCCGAGACGGAAGCCCAACATGTCGCGGTCTCGGACATGCAGTCCTTGTCCGTGTGGTCCCAAGCAATCGAGTCGTACGGACCATTTCTTGTTGCGGACATCCCTTTTTGTTGTCATCGTCAAAACAATTCGATGTGCCATCGTAGGCTTGGACGAGTCGCATTATTCAACGGGGCCCCGCTTGCCGTTGGTGCATCGGTGGAATTCCAGCTGGAGGACAGTTCGAAGTGGCGGGCAGGGACGATTTGCAAAGGTACCTTACGCATCCGCAGTGTGCATCCATGCAAGTCGACAACTCCATCCCTGTAGTACGTCAAGATGGCAAGTACAACATTGAGTACACCGACAACGACGATGATGAAGAAGAGGGCCACGACAAGAAAGTAGCGATGAAAGTTCCCTCGATTCGCGTGCGGCGACGCCAGTCATCGTCATGGACTCGCGCGATGTTGATGCTTGCTTCAGGGAGCTTGACACTGCAGGATGGTAAGAAGACGGCGTGGATTCTGTTCGAGTGGCAACGCCATGTGTGTTTGGGGGGGCGGAAAGTGGCATGGCCTGCGTGTGGCAGAAGTTGACGTGGCCTTTGCAGGAATGCGGGTGGAAATCACATGCATCAAAGACGAGATGGAAGTGTTTCAACGAGGGGAAATTGTCCGCACGCATGCTGACGAAACAAAGACCATTCGGTGCGTGACATGGCATCCAGGAGGATTGTGTCCATGAGCTTAATTGCACGACGCCACAAGGTATGACGACGGCAAGATCGAGAAGCACGTGTTGCCGAGCCGACTTCGCCCGTTGACCACAACGCTTTGTGTCGGCACGTTGGTACGTCTTGCGTCGGCAGTTGCTACACCCGCAAAACGCAGCGAGCCGCTGCCAGAGTCCACGCATGTAACCCGACAGCGTAGGTGGAGGCGTCCATGGAGACGACTCACGCAGCCCTCAAATGCACCGCGCCAATGCAAGGCACCATAGCGTGGGTGCACCGGGACCTCAAACGCGTCGTATTGGCGATTCCCGACGAAAAACACCCCGACCAAGAGTCGAGATACTGCCCCGATGTTCCGGTACGCTTGTTTCGCGCATGTTTGTCTGGAAGACTTTCATCTTTCTCACGCATTCCCTACGATCATTTTCACACCCGAGCGTGCTGACAACGTCCCGTCATGTTGCGCGTAGGTCGAAGCGCTTCGTTTGCAAGGGTACACGTGTCAATATGTTGTTGGAAATGTCGGACGAGCAAGTCATCGTGCACGACTTCAGGAATCGGCTGGATACAACTAGTTTGCATGGATATTCGGTGTGGCGCAACCTCAACATGCTGGCCAACCTCGCTCTCGACGCGGTTGTGTATGGCTGGTATCTCCTCGGTGGGTTGGACTATTGAGCCTTGTGTTCCACGGCTAACGATAGTCGTGCATTGTTCGTAGGTTTGGGCAATGAAATCGCATTGAGTGTGGACGTTCTTGAACGGGTTGGCAATGGCCACAACGACGCTGCCATGCAGGCATGGTACAAGTCCGTGGCGGTGGACCCTGCTGTGGTGGAGTGCTTGATCACGTACGCGCTATGGAATGCTCGTGTCCATTCGTTTTGGATCGGTACTTCAGTCATTGGACGGAATTGTAGCCACCCGTTCTTGAAAGACAAACCAACGCTGGCCCAAACACCACCGTACTTGCTCTTGCCCGAGGTCATGATGGCTTGGTACTGGCTTATCGTGCTCGTGTGCTTGAAAGCACTCGCGTTCGCCTACATTTTTGTCCGGGCGCTCCGTCTCCTTGTTCACACTGGAAACAGCATCGTGCTTCGGTACGGGCAATCATGACCACAATTCACGTCGTGGAGCATCGAGTGGGTTTTTCAATGGGCTCTCCAGGTCTATTCATTTGCAGCGGCACGTTCAAGACCAACTCCACCAAACGCACTTGTGGCGGTGCATGTTTGGTGAGCTCGTCGTCTCCAGCGCCACACTTCTCGTACGTGACATGCATATATCCATTTCCTTGACAATGGCAAGTAGTGCTTTGGGTCCTTGTCGACAACTCTTGGGTATCACTGCTTGGTCGACCGGCGGCCCTTGGACCTTACGAACAACACGTTTCGTGTACGTCCGAGCCCCCCGGCTTGACCTGAGCGGCTCACCACAGTCACGAGTGTAGTTCTCTTCTGTGGACTCGCGGATGTACGACCGATGACTTCTGGATCATAAGCTCTGACCTTGAACAGTCCCTCCGGCTACTCGTATGTGGGGCTGTTGCTGGCTCAAGTGACGGCGACTACAACGTTCAACTTGTACCGCGGACTGTGCTTTTTGTTAGTGCTGGTGGCGTCCTCAAACTTTGCCGTCCGTGCCGTTATGGTACGCAACCTGAACTAGCGTACTGTTCCACTTCAATTGTGGGGCTGTGATGTCGCGATAGATGATTCCTTCGATTGCCATGACCGCGTTCGCGTGGGCGTTGGCGCTGACAAGCATGCAGATGTTTGTATCGGTCCAACACGATGTGCTGTGGCGGGCTGGGTACTTTGGCCTCACGCTCCTTCACGTAAACTGGCTCAGTGGTGTACAATGGCCGTAAGAAAGTCTTGGTGTGCCAGGACATGGCGTTGGGCTGCATTGCGGCAGCCACATGGCTGACTTTCGTCCTGTTTCAAGTGTTTCGAACTGTCGGTGACTACAACCGCTTGGTTGGGGCCTACCATCTCCGAGGTACACCTTTCCTATTCTCGAGCGTCGGCGACGGCGGCATCTTGATCGTTCCGCGTTGGCTCATATGAGCACATGGCCTATCTCGAGTGGGGATGGTGAATAAACTTGCAATAGGCGCGGCTGACCAAGTCGCAGTCAAGCAGGTACGCTCGCCTACAGAGGTAGTCGCATGCCAACACAGACCAACGGCTAGGCTGAAGAAGGAATGCTCGGTGGTCATGCCCAGGAAGAGGCACTGCAAATTCGAACCGAAGAGGCTCAAATTCAAGTCGGCGTTGTCCAAGCTATCTATGCGACGTTGGTGCCGGGTATTGGTCTCTTTGCGACTGTAGTGGCAGTGTTGTGGTACAGAATAGTACTTGACCAAGCAGCGTCCATGACCAGCTCCATAGGCTGCTTGTGGCGGTGCCCATGCTGCACAGCGAGTCCCATATCGATATTCCAAATTGGATGGTGTCCACGACCGTGAATCTCGCGTGCATTTGGCTCGTAGCGCTCGCTCGGGCAACGTTCATGTCGTGCTGCAAAGAGGTACATGATTGACATCCACTCAACTCCTTGCCATGCCTGGCTACTTGCTGTTATGCATGCCCCACACAAGCTTGACATGGCATGGAACTCACGGTAACACTATAGCGAACAAGCTGGAAACTACTGAGGCAAGGACAAGCGCAGCAAGCTCGGCCACCTGTGTTATTGCCATAATATGTGAAATCCTTTGCCGAAGAGATGTGGCCCGAAGAGATGGTCAAAAAGATCGCGCCAAGGACAGAGCGCCGTGTTGCTAGCAATAGTAAAGTGGTCGTGTTTGAATAATGCCCTGTCAACCCGTACAGACAGCACAACCTGTCTAAACATCCACTCCTCCTGAACACTGCTCCATTGACACCGGCCCTTTTCCTCGATACTCGGCTGCAACAACTTTTTAGTCTCCATGACAGGATCATGAGAATTCCGCGCCATCACTATCGCTGATCCAGGACTTCTCATGGAGCTCAAGCCGATGCAGCGGCATCAGGGCTACAAAATGGTCACTATGAAAACGGTTATCCGGAATATCCCCAGGTATCCGGCAAGGGCATGTGAATTTTGTCGAATGAAAAGACCCAATACGGATTTTTCTGACCAATCACCGCCGCGTGAATCGGTTGTGATTTACTGGTGCCCACGGTCATTTTCGAATCATGGCGCTGCTCTTCCGCGGATCGTCGGCGGCCGCGGGCCTCGCCCGCCGCATGCAAGTCCGCTCCATTGCATTGACCACGCGATTCCCAGAGACCACACTGGAGCTCAAGGAAGCGGAAGGCAAGAAGGTATGTCAAAGGAGCTGTCTTTCAAACAAAGGATTACGAATTTGGTCTTATCATGCAATGCGTGTGTTTATTGACCGCAATGGACACTTTGATAAATTCGCATGGATGCTAATATGTGTGTTGGTGGTATTGCGGTAGCCGCTTCTTCCCTTGAACGTGGCTCTGGTTGAGTGCAAACAAGGTGCTGTCCGCAAGTTTGACGAGGTAATGGATATTGACTACCACGCCGTCACGAAAAGCTGTTGATCTTGTGGTGACTCAGACGGTCGATATTGTGGTTGAGCTCGGTGTGGACCCTCGCAAACCTAACCAAAGCGTTCGAAGTGTCGTGAGCTTGCCCCATGGCACCGGCAAGGTTGTCCGTGTAGCGGTGTTTGCCAAGGGTGACAAAGCAGGTTCGTGATGGCATGCTGTGAACACGTGCAGGTGGGAACTCGACCACTTCACTTTTTACAGACGAAGCCCGTGCGGCTGGTGCTGCGATCGTTGGCGCGGAAGACTTGTTGGCGGATATCCAAGCCGGCAAGTTGGACTTTGACCGATGTGTGGCGACCCCAGACATGATGGCGCTGGTCGGTCGTGTCGCCCGAGTATGTTTGCCACCGCATTACCTTATGAAATATCTTCGCCTGATGGTTCAGCTCTAGGTCCTTGGTCCTCGAGGGCTGATGCCGAACCCCAAGCTTGGTACGGTCACCCAAGACGTGACGGCTGCCATCAAGGTAAGCAACGTGCATTGCCGTAGGCGAGCAAAGCTAGCTGGATGTTCACGCTTGTTGCCTTTGCCCAGGCTGCGCAAGGCGGTCAGGTCGAATTCCGTGCAGAAAAGAAGGGTATTGTGCATGCTGGCGTGGGCAAAGTGAGCTTTTCCGATGAAGCTTTGCTGGAAAACATTCGCGCGTTCATGGTACGTCAAAGCAGCCATGGTTGTGGGCTGACGGTCGACAGGTTGCTGTGGGAGAAGCGAAACCCGAAGGCGCCAAAGGCAAGTACATCAAGGCGTGCCACTTGAGCAGCACGATGGGCCGCGGAATCAGATTGGACACGCGCTACTTGGACCCTTCGTCGCCCCATTTTATGCGATTCACTTAGATAGTTCCATCAACCAACCCACACTTCGTTCGGACGTCGTCGCGCATGTTTTTCGCGAGCACGTCACTTTCTTCCTGCACAATCGCATCGAGTTGAGCCTGGAGTGCGTGCCTAGCGCCTTCAAGACCACTCACGGTGTGTGGAATAACCAAGCACAATGCTGCAGCGTTTTCGCCTCACACATTCCCATAATCGCTCCATTCTGACACACTGTTCCTAAACAAAACCACTCGTCAGCTCAAGCTCGTAAGAGCAACACGCGCTCCAATTCACCATGCACCCCATGAGCCCTCCATTCGAGACAAATCGGTACACCGCGCACTTCCTGACGATTCCATGCTGCCTAGGAAGCCCCAAGACGAACAAGGGAGAAAAATGTGTCAGCGGTGGGATTTGAACCCACGAGTGCGAACACAGTAGAACTTGAGTCTACCCCCTTGGACCGCTCGGGCACACTGACTTTGTTACGTCCTTCGACTTTACAAAAGTTGAATCGTTTCATTGTGGCATTGTCGGCTCATTACATGCTTGCCTCTTCGCGTTGCGTCGACTGATTCGATGGACGGCACGCTTGAGAAGACATCGACAGCTTCGCTGGAAGGAGTTACAGAGCCAAAGAGTTTGGCCACAGGAGCCTGTGGATCCGAAATCGTGTTGCATAGACGGTGTTCAAGCAAAGGACATGTGGTCGACTGCACTTGCGTTTTGTATAGTGTCTAGTTGAATAGTAAAATCTTGGCCAAAGTTGAACTTGTCGCGGCATGTCGTCGTCGTCAGTGGATCTCATAGCGCTCTTGTCTGCGTGTGTCGATTTGGGGGCGTTTGCTGGCCAAGTTATTCGAGACGTTGTTGCGTCCGGTGAGTCGCTCCAGACAGTAAACAAGGCTGACGACGGCGCAACTGCCTCGTTCGACCCTCAAACGGTACCGTGGCATACCCTGGATGACTGTCGATGGACGGTCTGCTTGTCTTGGCAGCGTGGCACGATACGCTTGCTATCTGCATCACTTATCGTCACGGCATGGGTTGTGCCCTGAGTAGATTGCCGACACGCGTGCTCAGCAGCGAATTGTCGAGTCATTGCGGCGACACTTTGGCCCCAAGCTCATAATCGTGGGCGAAGAAGGCCACCTGGACCCCCCCGCAGGAGAAGACGTGACCACGCCATGCACATCACTGCTGGCTGCCACGCATCCGACAGCGGTTCCCGTCGACCTGGAGGATCTTGTCGTTTGGATCGACCCGTTGGACGGGACACGAAAATTCACCGAAAAAGCGTACGACGACGTGTCGGTGCTTCTCGGACTGTCGTATCGTGGCCGTCCCATTGCAGGTAGGCACTGCCCTTCCTTCGCTACAAATTGCATGGCGCTCCTGCGCGCATGTGCATGCCATTCGTACTCTGTTCTGAATCGTCTACCATCCTCCAAGCATGATGACCATCCACCGATTTTGACAAGTCCGAGCTGTCAAACGTCTAGCCTTCAGTAGTTGAGTGGGAATTTCGTGTTTTGCAGCCCGTTTGGTTGCATATCATGGTGTGTGTTGCTGCTGCGTGTGGTCTGGTGCGTTTGTAAGGTAGTCGATCTCCATCCAAGTGACCACAGCATGGAATCGTCCGAGTTGAATTGGGCATGGATGTCCTTTGAACGAGCTCACGTTGCCACGGCATGCGTTCCTACTAGGTGTGATGCACCAGCCGTTTGTTGGCGGCGGTGGCGGCACGACCTATTACGGCGGCCCTGCGGTGGACGGCATCTTCAGGTGCCACGTGGTTTCTCCGTATACAACGCACTTGTTCACCTGGCCCGCATTTGAACGCGTCCCGACCGGACGTGCCACGCTTTCAACCCGATCGACCCCGATCGTGGGCCACTCGGAATCCCCATGTGGCCATGCCAACGCGATCCTGCCGTTGCTCAACATGAGCACTATGGCAAAAGGATCGACTGGCATTCTCCTGTTGGACGTAGCGCTCGGCCACATCGACGTGTACTTTCGGTACGTCCATCGAACGAAGCGGTGGGACTCGTGCGTCGGCGAAGCGTTTCTGATCGTACTGGGCGGCGTTTTGACCGACCGGAATGGCCACCTCTACGACTATAGTGCGTCCGGCGACCACGAAAACACGGCAGGGATCGTGGCTTCTTTGGACAAGTCGCTCCACGCCACAGTCGTCGCCCGTGTGGCTACGTACGCTTCGTAGAGAAGGACGACCTGGTTCTGGTAAAACGACACGAAAAATGGCAAGTTCATTGTGTCCATCCTCCATGGAATCACCATTTTGTTGTGTGTCAATGCTCTGAAAGGCAAATCTACCCACAAGGCTACAAACATTAACGAGGACGCTTCCGGTTTTTGTCCATAGCGGCGACGTCGAACAGAACAAAATGCAAGGCGAGGCAACTTAGGCGATTTGGGAGCTATCCATGGGCCAGCACGAACTATCGTTCTTGAGCGAGAGACCACAGCACAGCCTCACGTGATTTGAAGGGAACCTATGCACGTTACAAAGTCTACTTGAATTCGGCGAGCAGTGCGTCCTTGTGCTGGTGGCGAAACAGAATCGTCTTGATACTGCGATCGCTCGTTTGGTCTGCGAAGTGCCTACACACCCATCGAGTCACTACTCCACTTTCATGAGGGTGCACTTTGTAGCAAGTGGAAACGCCCATGACACGGTCGAAACGTACTGAAATTTCGAGAACGCTTGCGCCTCTACATCCCCGTTGAATACATCGGTGACGAGTCCATGGCGATGCGCAGCATCAGCAGACAACTTCGCGCCAAGCAGCAGGAGCGCATTCGCTTGCATGTAACCCATTTTCGTGATCAAGGCGTGGGCGGCTGGCATGGCCGACGCTGTTGGCACTTGAAACGTGGCGCGCTCGTGGGAAAACACAACGTCCGCGAGGCCCACGAGTGAAACTACTCGAAAGAACCACATGAAAAGTCCGTGAAGTGAACGATGTCCTCAAGTATTGCTTTACCCTGGAGCCCATGCACAGGGCCATGTACGACCACACCCAACGGTACTGGATAGGCGATAATGGCTTGAATCAACGGCGCGATAGCACCTACAACCAAGGATGAATAGGGCCATCGCCTCCAACAACTGCATTGGCAAAGAAAAGGTGGTGAGCATCAGTCGACGTACTTGGATGCACCGTGGAAGGCGCTGCAGGATGGAGCTGTAGCACGAGAACCTTCGAAACTGGATCGTTCGCGGCTTCTTTGATGGCACTCGTGAGCTTTCCAACCAAATCGTTGTCCAGTGGGGCATTGGCGTCCGTCGACAGAGTTGTTACTCCTCCGCTGTCAAAGCGTGTTGCGCTCCATGATTCATCGAAGCGACAACTCTTTGAGCAACATACCTTTGAGTGAATTTAACACCCTCATTGGGTGACGAAGGTGTTGCTGGGGTTGGCGCGGAGCCAGCCGTGGACTGCATGCCAGAGCTTTTGGCGAGGCCATCGATGAGGTCGCAGTACTGTTGTTTGGCTTCATCTGCACTCAGCGAGCTAAGTTTCATCCATGCTTCCCACTTTGCCTTGCCCTGGAAAACGGGATTAGCGTGCGCCATTGTTCATTTCAACCAGGACGTACAACGAAGTCGAACATCCCCGGCTTGGGCTGCATGTTGGCACCGTCTGTTGCCTGCTTGTACAACGCATACATTTGCAGCTTCAGGCCATTGTCCTCCAGCTTGGGCAACGATTTACCAAGGGCAATCTTTTCCCGAAAGAGCGTATCCAGGCTCGAGGACGAGAATCCGCGGTTTCGGCCGAGAGCTTGGCGCAGCAGCATCAAGATGTGTCGACGCAGAAGATATGGATCAAATAAGAGTGCGGCACAACAGATATCGTTTTTCACAGGTTTTCGTCATGTACGCGAAAATGGTGACGACCATGAGCTTGTGCTGGCGGCGTCGTTGGACCACTCGGTAGATCTCTTCAAGTGCATCAGAGCCGAGACGTAGCGCTGCGCCAGTTCAAACTTGATTTAACAAGCGCG